TTAATAACTTTCTTGCTGAGAAAGAACTTCCAAACCACTTTAACAATATTGCTACCAATTTGAAATTCCACTAGTTGCGATTATGAACGGTTGCAGTCAACCTGAATGATTTACTCAGCCTTAATTAACTGCTTAAACTTTTATAACTCTCATTGCATTATCAAGCGGAGCGGTGTACAGTTCAAATTCCTGGGTCTTCAACTTTATGATATGCAGTTGATATAACCGAATAAAAACAAACAAAACCAATTAATTCTCTCCCCTTTGAACCGCCTGAAGGAACATTTCGATTGTGGTGCCCTGTATAACAATCTGTAGGGGAAAATGAAGCTTTATAATGAATGCATAAGACCGCCCTTAACAATAACATTGCTGGATGGCTCAGCCTACGCATTGTAGATCGAATAACAACTGGACGATTGGAAATGCGAACAAAGTAGGTACGCGTAATTGGAAACGTATTTTGTGCCGAAGTTAAGTGTGAAGTAGTGTTGGTTTGTTTAAAAAGAAGAACCGATCTGATGGAGAGCTCATAGGGGCAGCACGTAGTCGCTCAAGGGTCCTTGTCGCTGCCTTGTTTCCGTTTTAGTGTGAATTAGTTGGATATTTCTCCAACATAAGATATATGTTATTAGTAATGATTATATGTATGTAATTCATAATTGTCGTTGTGGATTCACATTTACTTATGCAACAAGTCGTTAGTGTGTTTTTATCTTGGTGGTTGCTCTGATTATGTGTGTTTACTAGCAAATAAGGTATACCTAAGCATGCAAAAGTTGATATAGTAGCAAACGCCCCCAAGACAACTCGCGACATGTAAAAGTCGGATGATAGAAGATTTTCACCAGTACATGTAGACCATCTACACTAACACCATATTCGCCACCGAAATCGCCAGCAGACTCTTCGGAAAAAATAGTTATAAATCAAATGTGAAAAATATTTGCAAAAGGATAAAAACAAAAAACAAGAGTGGATGACACAAGATATCCTCGACATGATGGACGAAAGACGGAAACACAAAGGTAAAAACAACACAAAGTACCGTGAAAACCACAAAAACATAAGGAAAAACATTAGAGAGGCAAAGGAAAAATGGTTCTCTGAAAAATGTGACAAGATAGAACAATATGAAGTGAAGTACGACTA